TTTTTTTTTTGAGTAGCTAAAAATATCTCACTCTTCAATTTCTTCTTCGGTTTCTGATAACAATTCTTTTTTAGTTTCTGGGATATCCAATAATACATCTGTGTCATCTGGAAGTGGGACGGAATTCGGACTTAAAGTTGTCTCTTTCAATTTGTTCTAAAATCCATACAAAATATAACATTAAAAATATACGACAGAAAAATAACATTTTTTTTTTAACTCATGGTAGACTGGATATGAATTAAGAATGTAATGTTAATAAAATAAAATAACAATTCATGCAATTATGAAGTCAAACAGCACAAATATTTTGAAAATTTAGTATTTTACTAAAGTATATTATATCAATCAGAGCAACAGATGAAGTATGAAAAATTATTAATTATTATTTATTACCAACAGACAATCAATAAAATCAAATGAAAATACATGTTGTTACAGCTCCTCTATCAACGAGTGGCTGTGAAACTTTTTTAGTTTTTGTATTAATCAATATCACACATATTAAACGTTTATATTTTATTCATTTTTAAAAAAAATATTATGTTAATTAGTGCAAATATTATTGTATAGTTATTTATTAGTGTGGTATTATTCAAATGTGTGCAAATAATAAACATTTCTCTTTTTTGTAGTGAAACATAAAAAATGTTGTTAGAAAAACATTATTAAATTAATAGGATCAATTTGTTATAAAGATATTATAAATGTTCATTTAATTGCTTGTCACCTGGGTGTCAAGCGATTCATTATCACTATCTTCATCATCAGAAGTCAAAGGTTCTTGTTGTTCTTCATTTACTTTTTCTTTTACAGTTCTATGAATGGTATCAAATATCAAATTTAATATAATAGTCGGATAAGTACACAATTTAATTACTAGTGTTCTATAATTTTTAATTTATTTAAAATATGACAAACTGGAAAGTACATACTACTTTTTAATAAAATATTATTTTATGATAGTATAAAATATTGTGTTTATAATGCATTAAATTGAATGAAAATAAAAAGTAATAAAATAATTGTATTATGGAGTAGATGATTTTGTATTTCGCACTATTTAAAATTTATACTTTTTAAATAATCAAAACAATAAATATGTATCTATACTTTAGAATAAAATTAAAATTTTTAATATTTTTAAAAATTTACCCATCATTTGTGTCATTGTCTTCATTTGTACTTTCAACCTTAACATCCTCCTAAAAAAAAATTAAGGGATTAGTAAAAAATAATTGTATTGAAACAATGTTTAATTACTTACCACGATAGTTGAACCATTGACTTCTTTAGGAGGACTTTTAGTAGAAATATCAAAAAATTTGTCCAACTCATCCAATTCATTAGCTGTGTCAAAATCATCATAGTCCTGTATAACATATCATTATTTAATTGATACTAAGACTATACATACTAAAAATGAAAATACCTTAAAAATTAAAAGGTAGAACTAGTTTTACCTACTTAATTGTCCTATTAAATAATAATTACGGTGCCTAACTAGGTAAATTTTAAAACAAATGTATATATATTAACATGTGCATTATATTATGTTAGGAAGTATAAAATATAATTTTATGTTAAAATACAATTTAATTTTTAACTAATGCCTAATGGTTTATTTCTAAAAGAAATATTAGAAACATAATTAGTATAAAAGTAGATACAAGGTGTATAAACAATGTTTAAAGAATATAGAACATGACAAGGCAGAAATTTTTTAGAATACAAAAAACTAGATATTTCCTAATATGGCAAATAATGATTTCTCCTCCAGCATTCATTACTATCTAATATTTAGTTAACGAACCAAGTAGCAAAGTTAATACATTTTGAGGCTATGAAATTTAATAGTATTAACTGTGTCAGTCTTATATTGTCTATAACTATTTAGGTATATAGACATTCCAATCGCACAATACATATTAGGTGCGATTGTTTGCAGGATACACATAGATCTGAGTATCTAATATAATCAAACTAACCCCGCAATAAACATCGTCGTTGAATATCTGCGGAGGCAGAGCATTTTTTGAACCGTCCTTGGTCTTGCTGTTGGTCTGCATATAAGCCTTCTCGTCCTCTTTCCCTGGTTCGGTGATGTCGACCAGGTCGTACGATATGCTCTTGCTGTCCAATATCATGGTTACCCTCTGTTGGCGTTTCTTCACCTGCAACCGCATAGCATGTGAGAGACCAAAACTACCGAAAAGACATCGGGTAGAAGTCCATCCAATGTCGGAGTCGTCCGCGCGCGCGACTTACCTCCTTGTTACCCGATATGCCGGACATGTACACTTTCACCACCATTTTCGGAAGATCTATTATTGTATTTTCCGTCGAGTGTTCGGGGACAGTGTGGGCGACTGTTAAAATTGCACGGCGGCGGTATAGGAATATCGCGGGAGACTGCGGTCGAGGATTCGGTAATGAATTACTGCAGAACGTCGTCCGTCGGTACTCGGTCCGGTCGGAAACTTACTCAGGACGTCTTGGGTTTTCCTAATCAGAAATTCAAAGCGCGTTATCAGCGATCGGTGACGGGCGAGGGATTCTGCAACTGCGGTACTGATGCGCGTGCGTGTTGGACTGCGGTTATATCTGTAGCACGGCTATCTTTAATCGTGATCTGCAGGCACACAATATTGATAAGATGGTTGTTGGTTGGCTGGTGGTCAACGACTACAACTACAACTGGTGTATCGTGTTTTTGAATAAGTTGTGGACCGCACGACTGTGCTATGACTGCTACAATAACAATATTAATAATAATATTGTCGTATACTCGTATTTACTATTTAACAGGTCCCCCCCCCCCCGTTATCGGATACTCTGATCCGATGTATATATTTGTCCTAAGGTCGACCATTGTTGTATTGTTCACCTGTCGGTCTGTCGATGCAACAACACGGCTCTATAATAGTCATTGCAGCTGTAATTATTATTTATTTCAATTGATTGTGTCCGCGTGTAGTAGGTAGGTACGTAAATTATAAATAGTAAATACCTCATCTATTGCTATGATTTTTCGCTTTTGTTTTATTCCAGTAATTTTATAAATTGTAGGTAAATCGTTTTTTTTCTTTTGTTCAGTGCACAAACACGGTAAACAACCATGTCGTTTTTGCATTCTTTTGATGTTATATTATTTAGAGAATTTTCGGATTTGCATATCGTACATATATAGGTACCAAATACCAATAATAGGTACATTGGCACATGCGGCTATAATTTATACGGGGTGATTCATTTATCATAAGAGTATAAGACGCACATAAAGTTCAAAAAACATTGATGCTTTAAAAAAATATTTTTTACATCAGTTCAAGAAAAGAACATTTTTGCAAAAAAATTGTCCTTTTTACTATTACAGTATTACTTATTTATCGTCATAATTGTTTGAGTTCCTCCTGTCTTCCTTGTCCCTTGATAGCTCTTCTAGATAGCAACATACATTTTGGATTCTAACCGGAGAGATAGGAATGTATTGATTTTACAAAAATGTGTGTTTTGTTTTGTGTTTTGTTCTTTTGGGGCAATAGAAATGCTTCGATTTTCTTCTTCAGCATCTTTCCCTTATAGAAAAGTAAATCTAATTGGTACTTTGGGAGACCAATAACTAAAAAGTGAAAAATTTCCAATAAGTAGGTTTAAGTAGGCTTAAGTAGGTAGTAGTCAAGAGCTTCAGGAAAAACAAAAGAAAATTAAGAAAAACTGATATTCTTAAGCAAAACCAGTTTTCGGAAAAATTAGTGGTTTTTGGTATAACTACATTTTTAACTAATCTATTTTAAATTTTGGGAAACAATAATTTAAAATATATTAAACTATATTGAAATTTAATCTCTTTTAATTTAAGTCAGAGGATTCCCATGTTCAATATACAAATGCGTATGACACAGGAAAATTTTCGTTCTAGTTTCAATAGGGTACTGTTAATATTGATATTCAAGTCAATTGTCCTAACTGATAATATAATAAAAATTGTTTTATTTTTTTTTTTAATATTGTAAGCCCACGAAATTTCATCTTACTGTTAAATATAATACGGGTGATACAGCAGCAAGGTTAAAACAAATTATATTTTTGTAAGTTGGAATATATTATCGAAATTCCCATTAAGATTTTCAGAACACTGACAAACTTTTTACACGGGGACTATAATGGACACTACAAGTACATAATATTATATGGCAAACCTAAAATATGCGCAAATTAAGGCACCAGGCGCCAATGTGATTTTGTCCTCGAAAACACATTTTAAGGGAATAATGATCCTGCCATGTAGAATAAACCAAATTTTTTAATAAGTTAATGGAATGAAAAACTCTATTTTAAAATTATTATTCCAGCTTGGTGACGACAATAATTATTGACGAATACATTCATGATTCATTGTTTTGCCGTTCATACACGAAATTGTTGTTCTAACTTATCGCTAATTGATTATTTTTACAGTTACTCATTCCGATTTGTAATGTATTGAGTAAGTTTTGTTCTTATAAATGTACGTCGAGTAGAGTGTATTTTATGTGGTTTGTATTACAGTAATGAAAAAATGATGTGAATACTGGTTAATAACCGTGGACGGGTAGTAAGATTTTTTTCTAAATCCTAACACGAAAATTACAGTTTTGAGTACCTACATATACCTATACGTATAAGGTATAAAATCCTACTGCAGTACTGCCCGACTCATGAGTTCCATAAATATAAAAGTTTTGGAACTTTACAGTTTATTGTGTACAAAATGTTCATACCTATTTTATAAATAATATTTGTATGATCATAACTCATAAGTTATAACAATACACTTAATATTTAAAAGTAATATAGCTAACTTATACTTCATTATTGTAAAGCTATATTATTACATAAACTTATATTTTTTGAGTTTGAGTAGTAATATTATATCAATATCTAGGTAGACATGTAGGGTTTTAGCTATATAATATCTTATCATTATTAAAAACTGAAAGTATTTTTAACACCCAAATATTAGATACCTATACAGTTCGAACTTCGGTACCTCGAAGTTTCAAGAGACCAAGAAAAAAAAATCGATTTACAGAAACTTAGAGAAACCAGAGTTATAAATACCGAGGTACCCACTACATACCTAGGTATAGATTATAAGACCTGTGGACTGCAGTGTGGTGCTCAAATGGGGAGGCCGATGACACATGATAAAGAATTATATTAATTAAATTATGATTTAGGAACAACATAGGTACAACAACCTAACCGTGGATGCTACTTTTTAATTATATAGTTTTACTTTTGGAACGGGGACAACAAGTATGTGGGTGTAGCATCCACTCATGATTATGTTTACGAATAGACAATAGTATTAACTAAATAACGATTGACTAAGAATAAAAAAAATTCAAGTCAACATTTAGTTTGGCTTTATTTTTACTAACTAAAAATGAACAAAATATGTGAAAAATCGGACTTGTCCTTGTTTATCCATGCCACTCGCTGCCATTCCTCGCTACTCCCCGCCACACAATGCCGTGCTACGGAGTCGGGACTAGCGTTTTTGAATCATCCACATCATACTATAATTAGTATATACTAATTTATTTTTAATCAATAAACATAGGTACTGAAATATTCAAGACGATTTCAAAAATTACCAAAAATCATGGATTAAAAGAATTAAAGTCTGAATTAACAGTACCTAATTATTTTTTTATTACCTATTAGATTGATTTTAAAAATATAATATTATTATTATGAGTTATAAGTAGGTATGTAACAATTTGATACTAAAAAATGTTCACGAATAAAATGTGTACAATACTACAAAGTTATACCTCCAAGAAAAGATCGATCATCTTTGACGCTTCAATGAATTTCAAATCATATTTTTTTTCTTCTTCCTCCTTGTGGAAGACGTATCCGCGTTTAATAAATCCAATTATGCCAACTGGAGGAGACGGCACATTTGATAATTTAACCACATTCTCGGTGGACTCATGATTTGGCTAAATATTAAAGCATTATTTGGTAAATAGCGTTAAGCACTTATCGCCGATAAGCTAAGTTTAGGTTCGATAAGAGATTTTTACATGTAAGGATTGAATTGAGTCTTCGTTATCGTCATAAATATTTAAAAATTCATCTAGATCCAAATGGTATTTTGTCTTTCTGAATGGATTTGTTACAACATTCAACCTATATTGCCCAGTCTATATAAATACGAACATAGATGACGTGCACAATATAATATGTTATATTATAGGTACAAATTATTTTACGAGGTTCTTAAAAAATAAATATTTTATATGTTTTCTTTTAGGGATTATTTCGTAATTTATTAACTTCGTTATATATTTATAATATTATCAATTGTCTGATTATTTGTAAGGTTCTAAGTGACATGAGTACCTCCTCAGCAATGCTCCAAAAGTGCAAGTATATAAACTAAGGAATATTGTTACTTACTATTAGCCGGAATAATAAAGCTAATTGAACAACCATTGTTAACATTACTTTTATTATAAAATGCAACATTACGAACTATAATAAAATATGAACAAGTATATAATAAAACGTATTACATTGAATAATGTAGTCAATACATGAATTGAAAGTTAAAAAAATAAATAAATACAAGCATATCGTCATGACATTTGGCCAATGTGTCCTTGAATTTGATAGCAATAACTAATGAACGGCCAGATGATGAACTGTACGACGTCTGTACACCTACCTTAGTGGTTTTTTTTTCAAAACATTTTTATCCATTTTAGGTTGCTAAATTTAAGTACAGAACTCCTTTTATCATCATTCTTTTAGCCCACTAGTACCAGTACATAGACAGAGGCAATTTTAGGGTTTATTTTAAGGGGGGGAGGAGTAAGGGTTAGGAGTGAATTTTGCCGACTCTAAAGAACCAAATTTGACAATTGGTATTTTAATTTTATATTGGTCACCGCTTAATGTAATCATTTTGGTACTGGACAAAATGGATAACCTAAGCCGATTCAGTGGAGATACAGATTAAGTTTTGGTATAAATCGTATATAATAAAATGCAAAATAGAAACCATTATATTTTAGAAAACGGTTTTGAAGAAACATTTTTCGTATAATCAATTATTTGTAGAGGTTATTTTGGTTACGGGATATAGTAATAACGACCTAGTCCCTATAAAGTAACGGATACCAAATTCTGATTTACTTTGTTTAGGCCCCTCTCCCCCCTCCGCCAGCCCGCCCATGAAGGAGCGGACGAAGAAAAGGATATTTTCTTTTGATCAACACTATGTCTAATCTGATGTTCTCCTTTATTTTTTGTCTAGACACCCGCAATAATTGTAGTAGGACTGAAGGAGCCTTAACTTTGGTTTTCTGGAAGTCACGATGCAAATTTATGATGGATATGTGGTTTTTTAGATTTTTCATTGTAATATAATCATATTATTTTATAAAATCAATGATTTTAAGTACTAACAGTGTCCGTCTAGTCCTAATACACTGCGCGTGTTCCTGACACGTCGTATATACCCACTATATTCTTACGAGCCATCGACGTTTTCAAAATTGACTACTCGTAGTGAAAGCTTGGCGCTTGTATACGTATAAGAGTATAACTATTATTACTTATATCATGACATTAATATATTACGCTATGCGACCTATAAGTACGTCAAACGCATTGAGGTTTTACGCATGGGCACATAGCGCAGCGTTGTTGTATACCTACCTACTTATTATTATGTTAATTACGTTTTAGCGAAATCAACCTCACACGGTCCATAATAATACTACACGCACAATAACATGTATATTTATAAGGTACTTTAGGTATTTAGGATGATGGACGTAGTCGTCGGGACCAATACGTTTTGAACGATTGCTCCGCCTCGAACATTCTCTGTAGGTTACGGTCTGTATGTTACTATTTATTATTAAACATACACGCACAGACACACTACACACACACTAGTTGCTATTCTAATAATTAATCCACTTAAAAGTGTGAGTGTGTGCCAGAGAAGTTTTTTCTTTTTGTTAGGGAAAAGTTTCTGTTGTTGGGGGTAAGAGCACTGTGTAATATGACTATATGAGGTTAGGTTTTTTTATAAGATTTAAATTTCAACAATAAGAGACGTTTGGCTTATAAATCTATAATAATTATTATATTTAAAGTATAGTATACTTTACTGTTTTGAAAAATTACTGTTGATACTGTTGATAGGTAAATATGTATCGCTTGTTGCGGAGTTCGCTCATGTTGATGCATATTAATAGTTTTACTAACTGCCGAGTGTAGTTTTAATAATAATTAATAATTTGGTTGGGTCTCAAAGTGTTGAGTGTGTATATTTTGTATCGGTCAATCCTATAGTGCGTGTGTTCAGTGTATAATAAATATTAAGTATATAATTCATTTTACGATAAAAAAATCTCTACTTTGATTGGAACGTATGACCTATTGGTTTAATGGCGATGTATTTATTTTGTTCGAAAATCTCATTTAGTCGTAGAAGAGCTTTTTATATTATTTTATTTTCTAAAAGTTATCCGAAAATAACGATATTAATAAAATAATATTAAAAAATTGATAAAAATCATCGTAGATTGAGTTAGCCCTACCACTCTTGCACTGGCTTATATTTTATTACGAGAATTAAATTCTGCTGTTAAAAATGTTTATTTCATTAAGATAAAATGTAAATCGTTAGTATTTGAAATTCAAACAGAAAATAAATGTTGTTATTATTTTTTAAATAACATAAACAAAAATTATTATATTAGAATACCGAGATAATAATGATTAATGACTATTATGATAATAAACAGAAATACGTTTTATAATTTTAGTGCTGAATATTTTTTAATCGTGTTATTTTAAGATAAGATTGAGAGAAGTAGGATAGGTTTTTTCCTTAGATCATATTCCATATATACTGTATATGATTTTAGGTTTTTTCTAAGTTCCTATACTGTATATTACATTGGCTCGTTAATACTTCCAAGGGTATATTATTATTTGTGGCTCAATGTTTCCAAGATCCCACCACTGTCACGGATGATGAACAATCGTATTGACCGTTTAGTGTTGCCATTATAATCATGATAAAACATAAAAACATAAACTGCGATTCGACAGAGAAGATTAGAATGTCTTTTAATTGTAATCATCAGTCGAAGTAATTAATTTGTGCTTTTGTTTCATTTTAATGTAATTTTAAACGAAATAGAGCGTTTAACGGAAAGTGATTTAAGCGATGTCGGAAGCTGAAGCAATAACGCATCGTTTGGTGTGCGGATTATTGAATATGGTGCAGTATTCGTTGTGAAAAAAGGTGTTGGCATCAGAAATAATATATAATGATGATTTATGTTAAAAATCGTAACAATAATAATACTAATTGCCTAAGTTGCCAACAAATTACAAAAATATAATTTTCAACAATCACTTTTTCACTCTAAAAATAAAGATTTTAAGTTTATTTTAAATAGGAAGAATAACTTTTTATTTATTTATTACCAAAAAAACAGTGCACTATTACATATAGGTAGGAGGCAACGTGCGAAAATTCATCTGCATGCTTGCGTATACCAGATCTCCCGGTGAACCACTGCAAGCAACCAATAAACAAAAAAAATACCAATTTCTACTAAATATATTTATATTTCTCCTATAACCAATAACAACCGTATTTAAACTAATATTTCTTTCGTAAATCTTAAAATCACTGTTTGAGCAACTCCCTAAGTCGGACCTATAGGGTCCAATTGTGAATCTAAACCATCCAGGGCGTCACCCAAAAGGAATCAAAAAAATTCATTCAAATCGGTCCAGCCGTTTAGAAGGAGTTCACGGTTCAATGACATACACACGTACAGTAGAATTATATATAATATAAAGATACTGTTATTAATTATCAACGAAATTAATAATAAATAAAAATCTTCTAAAATGTCTAATTTCTTGGCTTATTAACTTTAAATATAAATGATTTTCTAGGTACTTGATTAAGGTCATAACACTTATTATTATTATTATTATTATTACAATAATTGTTCTGTGGTAATAATAAATAAACTAACAACGATAATCGAATACAAGTAAAAAAAAATGAACTCTTCAAGTATTCTGCAATTAATAATTTTAATTGTCTAATTGTTTAAAACATACTTGCAGAAATGGAATAAATATACCTACACATTTACTTAGATATAAGAAAAAAATTATGCTAGTACACACAATATTATAATACAACCGAAAACTAATAATGGTTGTCGTCGAATGTAGTTAAATCGGATAAAAAAAACCTTTACTCGTTGTTTATTTTTAGAAGTAATTTAAAATTTTAAAAAGGTTCTATAGATATGCAATTATAATTTATTATATGTAAAAAACATAATATAGGTAGAACGTAGTTTGTAGATTTAGATTAAAATATACAAACTATATAATATATTATAGATAAATGTAGATAAACAAGCAATAACGGCTATTGTTGATTAATTTAATCATAGTAATTTTCATCGTATGCCAATTAAAATATTCCATATTGGTGTAAATCAATATATTTTGGAACCAATTCTAAACGAAGCTAAACGGAGTTGTACACCTATATCTAATAAAAAATAAAATAATAATTGTTAAAACAAAAAATGTTTTTAAACTACATGAATATAGTTAAACAGTTTCAAATATATTTTGTGATTATAAAGTACAAAGTGCATGTTTTATTATGATTATACATTCATCAATAGTTGAAATAAATAACCTTGCATAACCTTGTATAGCTGTATTTGATAAAACCTGTAAGAACATTTCGGGATTTCATGAATCCCTCAGTAGTCAGTATATGTGCTACTTGCACATTACACACATAATATAATAAATTATCACTATCTAATATAGGTTTTCGGTCTTAAAACTCACGATCAGGCGTGGTTCTGATTTAAAAAACACTTTTTAGTTATAATCGGTCCAGTGTGAATTTAACTCATCGGTGTTGTTTAATGTTTAAATGATTTGATACATCTTACTTGGTTTTTAAACACTTAATGAGCAAAGATGACAACAAACATGTCATTCATAAAGTCGTCTCCAATTTCACACGTATTGTTCACACTGGTGTTTTTTGTGTCTGGTTTTACTGTCAACTTGTTACAGTTATTATTTTTTATAATTTTGTGGCCAGTAAACCAAGAGCTATTCAGAAAAATTAACTACTATTTTTCATACATTGTTTACTCAGGTATACTTTGATACTTTGATTAGTTATTTTAGTAATCATAGTACATATTATTATTCATTTTAATAAAATGATAAATTTATGTATTATATGTATTATATTAAACTTTCAAACTCGTTATCAATGGATCTTCAATTTTCCTTTTACACTTATACGAATCAACCTATAACGGTTGAAAAAACGATTATTCAAAGCACATATTATATTTACACATTTTGATAATTAATTAAAATTCAAAAATATTTATGTATACATTCTTACTTAAGCAACCTTTGATACTCGATATTAATAAATCTTCAGTTTTACTTTAATGCTCACATAAATCAACTTAAAACGGTTGAAAAAAAACGATAATTTATAACATATATATTATATACATATTTCAATATTTTTCTTGATATTTTTATTCTTTTTACAGAACTCGTTTTCATATCCGATTGGTGGGCTGGTGTACCGTATTACTTTTATGTAGACAAAGAAGATTATAAGCACTTTGGTAAAGAACATGCTATATTCATTATTAACCACAAATACGAAATTGACTGGTTAACTGCTTGGGTCGTTCACGATCGAATCGGCGGGATTCTAGGGGTAAGTATTTTTTTTGATACCTACGACTGAATTCGTATAGTCAAAATGAAAACTAGTGATTAATTAAATATATATTTTTAAATTATTGCATCATTTAACAAGAACTGCAAAGCATTCGCAAAAGACAGTCTCAAGTACATGCCCGTGATTGGTTGGGCTTGGTGGTTCGGCGAATTTTTATTCCTCCAGAGGGATTTGGTAAAAGACAAGCACACAATCGAAACTAAGCTCGGAAAATTGTTCGAACATGAAAACCCAGTCACGGTATTTTTTAAATTTGATAAAAATGTCCACTATACAGTGACTACACTTATTATGGTAATATTTTAATGTTGTGCATCGACATGTTCGTACAGATGTTGCTATACGCAGAAGGCACCAGGTTCACAAAGGATAAACAAGAGGCCAGCATTAAGTTTGCTCGGTCTAAAGGACTGCCGGAGTTGAAGGAACACTTGCTCCCGAGAACTAAAGGTTTTAGCATTGGATTGCCTCATTTTAGACACAATCTGCCAGCCGTCTACAACGTTCAAATCGCTTTTAAAGGGTACGTATAGTATCAAGGCTGAATACACATTTTAGCCATTATTTAGCCATGCGTTGTGTACGTTGTACAGGCTATATCTTGTGACTTGTACATAGCTTTTGTTCCACCGATAACTATTGTTTTCTTACTCACTTCTTTTCATTGTGACTTTCGCAAATGCAGAAAAGAAAAACCATCGTTGAGATCATTGTTAAGTGGTCAACGGTTAGAAGCACATGTGTACATGGAAAGAATACCTATTGAACAGGTTCCAGATGGTGACAAAGCGTGTGAAAAATGGATGTATGACATGTACGAGAAAAAAGTAAGAGTCCATATTTTACATATTATCAGCTTGGAATTTGGAAATAATTTCTAACATCCTCAATTGAAATTCAAAATAACCTAAATGCAGCAGGCTAGGTACATAAAATAAATTATATACATACCATTTATTTATACTATAATGAATTAGCAAATAAGCATTCACAACCTATGTATATAGGTGGGTACACTGTTTGATTACTTAAAGGTAGAAAGAATTAATTTTTAATGCCATACTAGCCTAATAATCGTCTGATATCCAAAATAAATGAATAAAAATCACTCTAAGATGATACCACACCAAAACTAGAAAGTAACCAAAATAAATTGAACAACATTACTACATTTATACACTAAATATATATATTATATCCATTCAAACCTAAATAATAGATATAAGACAATAATACCTATTAAAAACTAATAATGAAACATGAAACATATTATTATATATAACCTATGTAATTATATAGGTAAATAAAATCAAAAAATAATAATGTCAAATAAATACAGTTATAGGTACTCAACTTTTTGTGTTTGAATATTATCATAATGTATGCACCAAAAGGTGATAGCCAACAGGTAGTTTTAAAATATGGAAGAGCTAAATAATAAACACTGTTCAATAATATTCCAAACCCAATAAAAATAAACTTTTTTTTTAATAAGTTAGCAAGTACTTATTGTTGCATATGCATTGATAAGATGAAAAATATTTAGTTTTAATTTTTTTAATATATATTTAATCAACAGGATAAAATGATGGTCAGCTTCTTCAACACAGGAGATTGGTTCAAGGAAAGTGGTGTAAAGCCAGTGGAGAAATTTGTTCCACCATATCGTTATTATTGCCTTCTAAACATGATTTTTTGGTCAATCTTAATTTTAATACCGTTTTTCTACTTGGCATTTAACATTTTAACTTCGGGAAATTTACTTCATATACTATTGTTGGTGGTACCAATTGGCTTACGTAAGTTTAATATTCAAACTAACTTAATATCTGCACTTAAATTACAAAATGCTGTGTATATTTTATCATTAAAATACCTATGTAAATATTTTATCCAAAATATTTTATTTACAGTTCATGTAATTTTATCCAAAATATTTTATTTACAGTTCATGTAATTTTATCCAAAATGTTGAACGTTTCTGAAATAAGCAAGACATCTTCACAATACGGCACAGAGAAACAAAAAACGAAATAAATACAAACTATTGAAGTAAAGAACAAAATAAATGTTTAAAGAAGTTTTGAAGTAATAGTTTCAAGTTAATAATGTATGTTTAAATACATGGCTATATTGCCATTGGCCATAAAGCTATACTATATATTTCAATAATTTCAAATATTGTTTCGGCGTTTACTATTGTTTTTAACTATTTTTTTTTATTCCTAACAATAAAAATAATATATTATGTAAATAACATATTACGTATTTTTTCTTATAATGCACTTAAAAAAAATATAGTTAAAAAAATTGAATTTATTCATTTTAAATACAATGTACAATGTTTACATACTATACAATGATTACAATTCACAACAATTTAATAAAAAATATATATAATTTTAGCTTATATTCATAATAAAACTTCTAAGTGAAATCATTTGGTTAAGTTTTAGGGTAATTACTAATTTATTATACATATATATATATTAATTTTAATTGGCTATTAGTATTTTTACATAAAATATATTATATTCAGTTTATAGTAAATCGTTACATTCATTTTATTTTAATGTACTATTATATTAAACGATGATATACATCTATATCTAATTTCTGATTATTTATACCGAAATAATTTTTAAAAAATAAATTAGCAATATTCTAGGCAGCTATTGTGTTACTAGTCGTATATTTTTATAACATCTAGTTATCTAGGTACTATTATTTTTTTTCCAAACTATATTTTATTTAACTAATTGGGCGTTTATGGGGATAGTTGCCATTTCCTAAAATGGATCATGACGTCATTGCCAAAATGCATATAAATACAATATGAGTAGAACTCGTCTAGGTTTTTGAGAATTAGGAACTTTACCAACTTATTAAACCGATGTAGGTATTCACCGACCATGATTTCTGTCTAGAGTAACAATGTTGTGGGGACCTCTCAGTTACTTCCAGACTCTTCTCAGATAAAAGCGTTGACATTTTGTCTTAAATATTTTTATAAAAACATTTATTTATATTTTATTAATTTTTAAAGAAACCACTGTGTTATTTGTATTTTAAACTTATAATTTTGAGCTAGCTAACACGTTACACGACTATCGATAGAAGTTCACAGATTGTATATTATTCCTGATCCGTGATCGAGTGGCGTCGTTTAATATTTAGTTAGATAGTTTAAATAGAAGATTAGAAAATAAATAAAGAATAGTAAGATCAGTTTAGATGGAAGTCATAGAACAGACGATACTGAGTATATAAAGAGACAACGATGCAAATCAGTGGCGTATTAAGGACGAAATTTCGGGGAGAGGGGTTGGATCCCTACCCCCCTCCCTCTATATACGCCACCTACAAAGATCGGCGATCTCCACATTGGATCTAATGGAAATACATAATTGTTGACTCACCGTAGCGGGTCTATCGGACTAATAATATACGGTGTTTCATAAAGAACGCAGTAACTTTTAGGCTCATAGGACTTTTCTTATAATTCCTGTTACCTGTGGTTGTTGGGGATTTAAGTGATTGCAGACCAATATCGTCGTCATGAAGTGGTATACAATCGGGCAACGAGTTTTGTCAATAAAAACCCATTATAAACACTGCGAGTGTGCAGCGGTAACAGTTAGGAAAATTCGTATACTATCCTCGCACACTATGAAGCACCGACCGCAACAACAATAACGAAGTTGGTTAGTAAATTTGAAGAGACAGGACCAAGTGACCAACTGCAGTGAAATGGGCCACACATGCACAATTTATCGGAAAAAAAACATTTTATACCAATTTTTAATTGTATTCATTACTTACAATACTATATTATACAGTACTTACAGAAAAGTAACATTATGTATACCTCCCAGCTCTTACTGACATAGTTGTGACACAAAAAGAAAATTGTATAAAAAAATTACTTTTAATTGATCAAAAATACAGTGTTAAGATTTGACTCAGAACATGAGTTCCTTTCTATATGTACATAAATTAGTATTTAAAATAAAATAAAAGGTACCATAATATTGTTATTTTTAAAAATATATTGATTGTTAAATTGTTTTGTTTTTTTATATGATTTAGCAATTGTATGATAAGTTGCTTAAATTAAAAACCACTAATAATACAATAAAATCGTAAACCATGTCTGATTACGTAGGTATAATATATTATGTTATATTATAATATATTTATGTACAGGCGCGGACTGGCTGGGATGCTGGGATGCTACAGCATCCCTTGCCCTAAAATATATTTGCCTCTATCGGTATAAATGTGCCCACCTAAAATTAATCTGAATTTTGAAGGAGAAGGTTAAAATTCTCTGATAAAATCGTAGGTAGATGTAGATCTATTATTTATGTAATAACTAATAAATAATAACTATAACAATCATAAAGAAAAAAGAATACATTTAAAGTAGGTAGCCAATAAGAAAATAGGTAAATTAGTTTGAGCAGCTTTTTATATACATTAAATATACTTTCTTAATTTATTATTAACACAATCTTTATAAGAGGAACTTAGCTCTAATTATTATGGGGCGGGGGTTGGAGGGGGGGCAAAAATTAATCACAATTTACTGACCCTTAAGTTTGCCGTTGCTTAACCTTGCCTTGCTGTTGTAATTTGGCACCTATTTACATTTTTAACGTAATTACAATATTTTATTAAAACAAAAGAAAATGTTTAAATATTTTATAAATAACCTATTATTTAAAATTTGTTTTATTTGCCCTTTAAATTATGTAGCATCCCGCGCCCTTTTTTACAAGTCCGCGCCTGTTTATGTATGTCGTATAAGCTGATTAGGTGCTATGAATAGTATACATAATACTTTATAATTATATAAAATATAATATGCAATAAAATAATTTACCTTACTATGCCTCAAATATTCTAACTTATAATTGTTTGACATTATAAAAATTATAATTTTTGCTATCTTAAATTGTTTTCTAATAATTTATACCCTTTAAACTTTACTCCAACTTCACATCAATACTCAGAGAATAATCTTGGCTAGGCCAAATCTTCTAAATAGTTTTAGTATAGGATTTAATCTTATCACTTAAATATTATAAATATTTTGGTAAATGTCAATAAACTTTATAGGGAGCTTGACTCTCTAAGCCCCCTCTGAAGATGTTGTTTTTGTTTTATAGGTGGTGATGGGTAAAAGAAAGTTCACCTCCCCACTGTAGCTGTATTATAAGAAAATAATATCATAAAATAAATTAAGTCTTAGATTTTACGAACAATATTGACTATTGTTTTTGAATAACCATCCATTATTCCGAGTCATCACCGTTGAGATTTTCTTCTTTTGGGTTGCACCCGGGTGAATCGGCTATAAATTAGACATTATTATTAATAACAATATAACTCAATAGTATAACACATTTATTAAAATTAAAAAATATATAAAACAACAGTAACACAAAGTATTTAAGTTTATTTAATATTATCAAAACATTAACGAAATAATTAAAAATCCATAACACAAAATATTTAATACTGCAGAAAAGACATTTCGATACAAATACATTTGTATAATAAAGGTATCAGATTTATTATTTATATTTACAATGTACATCCCAACACAAATGGATGACACGAAAAATTAAGAAATGATTGACGATCCAATAATTGTTTAACAGTAAAAAAAAATTTAAGTTACATTTATACGAATTGAAATAAAATGAAGACCTCCCGTGGGGAATCGGTGTATGTTACAATATTTTCAAAAACCGTTTTAATACATTAATTGATAAAACTCAGTGTTGACAACACATTGTGCTACATTATGTATGAATAAACGTACATTAAGAACTCCAAAAATTGATTGCAAGAAAGCGTTTATGTATAGATGTTAGACTATTTGGAACCGAAGTACCGCGAATTCTACACACAATTATGTAGTCAACAATAAAAACACGCAAATTTAATAATCATATTATTATATATTAATTTTTGTTGTAACTACCTAACCATGTACTAAACATGCACATAACTGACTTCAGTGGTCCATATACAGTTATTTGTCTCCTCTGAACAATTTCGTTTTTGTAACATACACCGATCTCCACGGGAGGTCTTCAAATAACTTACAACTTAATACATTTTTTTAAATTTAATTTTTGACATTAATCTCGATACTGTAAAACACATCTTTCTAACATTTTAGGTATAATATTATATAAATTATAGAAAAGTGAAGAAAATATGTTAGTTTTGATTTCATAATACACAATAAAGGGAATTGGAACTTGATGTGAATGACATGATATTAAAATCCACATAGTTTAAAGATAGACTTCTCGTTTTTCTTTGATTTTGTATAGCATATATTATTATGCTGCTCCTGCTGCAGTATAAATACTGCTGTACATGTTCCTACGTCTTCTTGTTGTGGTATTTCATCTAATGAATTTATTTTAATTTCAACAATTCATTTCGACTAACTCTATTTTTTATACGAATATTCTGAACTAACAAACCAATGTAGATTTATTACAACACCTTTAAAATTTGAACAAAATAAATATTTTCAGCTGTACGGGTCATCCGGTTTGCATAATTGTATTTTCACATAATTTAAGTGTCATATATAGTTATCATTGTGTGCTATTAATTAGTTCCTTTTAGAAAATTAAAATTTGGTCTATGACTGAAAATAAATTGACTATAATATGATAAATTATATTACCTCCCCTTAAATGGGGCCAATATTGGAAACGATGAATTTGGAATTATGTATAGGTGCCAATATTTTTCTGCGAGTACTTTTGGTTATCTATATTATTATACAACGATTTAACGATAAATTAATAATTTGTTTTATATTGAAGATATAGTGGTGATGTAGTTACCGATGAATTAGGTTCTGCTGATCTGGTCATAGTTAACGGCATTATAGATTTGAATCTAAGTGGTAATAAATAATAAAACAATTATTCAATATACAGTTATAGGTACATTATTTAACAACTATAATTTAACAAACACTATGTAAAAAATATTACCTGAATTATTGAGTTCGTCGGTGGAAGATTTATTGTATAAACTATTTTTTCAAGGTCACTGCATTTCTATTAATGTCAGTATACTTAGTAGAGGAATATAAATACCTTTAAATTACTTGCTATTAGGTAGTTGATTTATTGAAGTTATTAGGTATCTAAACAACAAGAAAAACACCAATGTTCATTATCTTATTGTATAAATTATATTCTTTAAAATACGAATTCTAGACCTGAAATATATTTGATAAAATAAAATAAAAATATATTAGTTTTAACAATTATTATTATACGCATTATTTTATTTATTATTATTATTTTTTTTTTTATTATTGTTCTTAAAATACATCTGCTACAAAGACCATTAGTTAAAGTTTGTTTTTACATATGTACATTTAGGTAAATACAGACATACTCAAGATTAATGCATTGTTTATTTGTTGTTGCGTATGGAGGTGTGTCGTGATACCGTTTTCCTCTATATTTGGTTGAGGAGGTCCGTACTTCTTAAGAAATTGACCATGTTGTTGATATACTCTGAGTTGGGGCCTAAGGCTTTGTTTATGTTATTGTTATTATTTAAATGAATTAATGAAGTATATTCAAATTTCTGTACGATAATTAATTTTGATGACATTATTATAATAACAGAAATGACAGATGGGTAGACACCCGCCACCCAGTAGTGCCACTCGGCCGGTTGATTCGGCAGGACTAGGTATATAGACTATATAGGGTATAGGTCTCCAGACCAGCATCTTTTTAACCATCTATTAGGATTTTTGGGAATGGTGCAAGTAGTAAGAAGTTTAATTAAAGTAGTAGGTGTCGTGACTTTTTACTAGTTGTTTGAAATTTTGAGTTATTTGTAAAGATAATAAGTATTAACGTGTTATATTAATATATTATGCCACGGAGGAACGGAGCAGAAACGATTATCGACAAATGGATTGAAACACCAGGAAAGTTCTAAGATTTGAGGGTGTGGCTGAACCTCATACTTGAATTCCGTAAGCTCATTGCTCATGTTTGTCTTATTATGGACTTACACACTGCTACTTGTGAGTTTGAAGGTGGTCGATAATTTAGATCGGATAAGTGGACGAACCAGATGGAGTCTAGGATTATAGCTGATTTTCGTTTAGATTTAAGATCAGCCACTTGTCAAAAGTTAAGCTTAGATATTTTACTTCAGATACAGTACTACAGTAAGAATTGTGTTATTGTTTAGTTTAAGTGGTGGACCCCTGGGTGTAATGAGAAAATTAGGAATGATGATATGTTTCCTAAATGTTTATCTTCCAACGGTTGATCCGACATTGAATCACATATCGAGGTATTTTTTAATTTGATCTTTATTAGAAGCCATTATTATATTGTATCATCAATGATTGGTGAATGCAAAATGTGATTTAGGGGCAAACATTTTATAAACAAAAGTTACTTTAATGAACTCTGGCCAGTATAAGGTATTTCGTGGAGCAGGAGTTAATAACTCGGATCTTAAATAGGCAGTTTTTTTAAGTAAAGTTTTATTAAGAGATAATAAAGAGTAGGGTCGTAGGGAGAAAGTTTTTTGACATGAAAAGATAAGTCTCTCGTGTGAGACTGTGCCACAAACAGCTGCTCAGTATTATTTGTTTTCAATGCAACAATGTTGGTGAACTATGGAGTGTTTTGATCTAAATCAAAACTGGTGATTTGAAATGATTATAATAGGATCCATGACATATAAGATAAATCTCTAAAAATTAATGAGGCGATGGAATGTCTAGAAGCTTACCAAGTTTTGGTATAAGAACGATGACTGAGTGTTTACAATTCCTCGGGAAATATATCAACAATCGAAGTAAGGAATTTAATATACGTGAAAGAATTATGAAGGACTTTTTTGGAAGCTTTTTAACAATAAGGTTGCTAATAAAATCATGACCTAGTGCTTTTCTTGGCCGACAGTTTCCAACTAATGTGTGTATTTTCTATTAACATGCAATTTACTTTTAACTGTAGACAATTTGAAATAATAAATTTAATGTCGAATGAACACAAACAATAATCAGTAGAATTAATCACAAGCACTGGTGCAACTAGATGGATGCTTGGAGTGCTATATAGCAATACCCCTAGAGTGTGGACGATTACTCCTTGGAATTTGGTTAATTCTTTTTAATATTATGTTATTATGGGAAATTATACTATGCCAATATTTAAACAGAGAAAAACAATTTTATTTAATTTGTTGTAACTTAAAAATATTATTCGGGGTACCCATTTTTTTTTAACCTACCTACTTGAAACATTTAACGTACCTATATTATTATATTTTGTTCACAAAATGAAATTATCAAATGCAATGTTTTTGGCAAAAGTTAATTTAACCTACTGCAATATTAAAGAAAAATTAATTACTTTAATAGCAATAATATCATAAAATAAACTTAATAATACCCGATAGATATCGGCTGCCAAGCAGTTTTTCGTATACAATGATTTTATCGTTAATGATTTTTCAAATTTTAACACATCCGTTACAGTGACCCACTCATTACCTGCTGTACAGCTACAGAGTGGTGGTGTGATATCCATTTGTCATTTACTCGCCTAATTTTTATTAATCCCCCCTCCACCCCCCAAAAAGTCTAATTAAATCCAATTTTTTACCAGAAACCACACTCAAAGTCAAAAATTGTAGCATTTGTATTTCTCCATTAGTTGATGACTACTGATAACAGGCACCAAAATAAAAACATACATACAAAATAATGTACAGTTTGGAAAATCTTTTAAGACCTATAAACAGTATAAACTGATAAAACAATATCACTTATAAAATTATATATTTTTACATATTTACATTATAACTTAATACCAAATGTATCAAATAATAGATGATGATGGAGATTCCATAATTTCGAAATATATATTACTTCCATCATCATCATTTTACAAAATGGTATAAACCATAAATAGCCTAACGAATACAAAATATTTTAATCGTAATTATATTTTTAGTCAATAGTTGAAAGGCTTTCAACAACAACCACTATAATTATAGTTGATTGTATATTTGTATAAGTACTCAAGAATTTGCTATATTGAATAATTAGTAGGTACCATCAACCTTAATTTCGTGCGTAAATGTTAACCTGAATGACTAAATTACAGAGAAAAGGATTTTAAAAAAGTAAATAGACATGTCACGAAGACTCGAGGATAAGTTTTGTATGAAGGCTCCTCTTGTGATTTTGCTGACTGTGATTTACTGTATTAGCCAATTATAGGTATGCTACAGTATATCAGGCACCAGCTATGTGTAGTATGAATTAAAGAGCCTTGATATGAGAGATAACGCAATTTACATGTATCAAGGTTCTCTATGACGTATAATTATTAATTAATATGTGTATCTGGTGAGTATGGATTTCAGTAGGCGCCTAATTTAATGAAATCGTCGAACTAAACCCAAATAATTGTAATGCCAAACGCCAGTAACGAATTCAACGAATTCGATGAAGACGAACCTACAATAAATTGTATCAAACTTTACAAGGCATTACCTATATAATTGAATTTTACATTTTGACTGCTTCGATTAGGAGGTACCTATATTTTGAGTATGTATATTGCAGTCGGGTGTAAAAATAAATTGTTAGCATTGTAATAATGTGTCGTTTAAAATTGAAGTGAAACAAATCGG